CCAGTTTGAGCTTTTTTTCTTTTTTCCTTTGTTTTGTTTTGGGTTTTTTTAAGCACAAGTTTTCTCACATTTATTTGTTTTCTGAATATACAGATACATGTGTGTAAATTTCATGTCTTTCCTTATAAATCAAACTCACACTTGAAAATGTGAAGTTAAAATACAGTATAAACATGTTGATTAAATAATTTTCATAATAAATACTTTTGTCATTATTGTGTCACATAATACAGTCTTGTGCTCTTGGGGAGCGCATGGGCAAAGGAAGATTTACTTGGGAACTTTAGTTAAGCAACTTTTCAATTTTCCTTATAACACAGTTAATAGAGTCAAATGAGACTTTTTGTCAGCGCATGAATGGGGAGATATATATGTGTGTATATATAAAAAACAGAAGTTATTTCAAATGTTTTTTAAGTTCAGAAGTTCAAGTATCATCAAAGAAAAATTTAGAATTTGTGTATCTGTTATAAGACATTATTATCCAGTTACCTAGCTACTCACAAACTCTCAGTGCTTGTTCTTTCTCTATTTTGGCCATGCTACTTTTCTCTGTTCTATACTAAGGGTAACATGGGTATCACCCAAATGAGGACAGTTACAGACCGCTTTAAAGACTGGAGTCCAGATACTTCCTGTACAGTGTAGCACTATGTGGAAGTGACCAGTCAGGATGTTGCACTAAAATACTCTGTAGCACTTTGTACAATGGAAAAAAAGACAAAAGCCAATTGTATAATAATATTCTTCTTGAGCTTATATTTACCTATCCAGTTACTTAAAGATCAAAATATGCTGGTTTCACTTGGAAAAATAAATTGCATATTGGCATGCCTTTGAACTTCTGATAGCAGAGAATGGAAATTTACTTCATAATGTATTACTAGGGTTCATTGCAGAACAGCTGTAGAAAAACCCTACATTTATTTATTGCAGCTTTTTTTTTTTTTTCATTCTGTGACAAATATATGATTTTTGTAGTCCTTCAGCATGTACTCAGACTACCAGAATTTTATGTAATTTAAACCAAGGTTCAGGTAAAGAGGATGCAATTACTATATTAGCTAAAAATTATCTCATTTTTTCTCCTTTTTTATTATTCTGGTAGTTACTTTTAGTACTAGTTTACTGCAAGATTTTTTAATACTTTAGCTTAAGCTAAATTTAATTTTAATTAAACCGTTAATTTTAGTATCAGATTTTCTAAGAATGCTTTTCCCTTGTTTCTTTCTACATCAGAAACTTGAAAGAGAGCAAAGCATGCTGCAGGTTTATTAAACTTGAAAATATGGTATGTTTGGGTTCATTGTACCTATATAAAGAAAAGGAACATACAGGCAGTCAGTCAATTCTAAGGTAGTTTCAATAACAGCATCGCTAAAGAAAAGACTACTGGTTCAACTCTGGAATGTGAGAAACTATTTTTGGTTTGTTTTAGACCCTCATTGTTACAAATTAATCAACTGCTCTTTAAAGTCTAGAACTCATTAACTTTGTAAGTTTTACTGTTCCCATGACTGAACTGAACTTAAAATATTCAAGTTTACTTTAGTTGCTCACCTTGATCCCATTTCTGTCTATGCTCCACAAGTATCCTCTTCTCTCTTGTAAACAGACAGCAAGATGTAGTTACTTGAGATTTTAAATATTTCAGAGGGTTAACATGTGGTA